CTCATAGGCTATTTTAATGTGCTTTTATCCATTTGACTTGAATTGTAATGGCTGAAATGCCTATATGTGTACTAGGGCTGAGTTGATGTTGAATGAATGGTTTTCTAGAATATGGATGTTCAGTGTCTCTGCTTGTACATCATCCCGGGAATTAAATAAGAATTTGATTTACAGATTATTCGCAAGGGATTCTGTACAAATACTGATTCATATCACTCCCGTGGTGTGAAAAACGAATGTTTGTTGTGAAAGTCCCATGTGGTTATGAATTTCAAAGTTGGATTAATTTAAACCATTAATATATAAATGTCTTGATATATTTGAATGTATCGATTATAATTGTTTTGGTTAAAAATACTTATTCCTTGGGAATGGGATATGTAGAAACTAAAGATGAATGTGTGGGTTTTATGACATTGGTCTTCTTAGTGGAGTAAAATTCGTACTTCCTACTTAAACTCTAAGGAGCCTAGATGGCGTAGTGGGTTATGCTTTGGGTTGCTATACACAAGGCCAGCAGTTCAAAACCACCAGCCACAGTTTGGGGGAAAGATGAGGCTTTATAGTCTTGTGATGAGTTCCTGTTTCAGAAACCCACAGGGGACAGTTCTACCTCGTCCTATAGTACTTGAGTGCTTCATCATTCGTACAACCCAAAAACGCTCAGCCAAGGACTATGGATGGCCTTAGCAGGTAGGCAGGGCAAAGACCAGGTTCACTTCCAGAGCCACTGAAGGATCCACAACTGTGTTGTTTCACATCGGTGGTGATTTTTCACAACAGCCGTCCATACCTTGTATCCCCAGCAAGAGGTACATGTTGAGTGCCTACTATGTGCCAGAGAGTGAACAACACAGACCAGGGCCCAGCTCGCCTGGTGCTCACATTCAGCAGAGAGAGTGTCAGGGTAACCATGAAAACGTCTAGAGTAGAGAATGGTGGGGAGATTGAGAGGGGAACACCAATCTTACAAGACCTTGCTGGGGAGGTGCCATTGAAACTGTGTCCTGAGTGATGAGAGGGATCCCCGATACTAAGCTCTGGAAGCATAGGTTCCAAGAAGAGGCTGGAGCGGGTCCACGTACACAGAGTGACCTATGCTGTCCGAAGGGGTAGGAGCTGCTTGGAATACCCTGCCCACCTCCACTTAGCTTTAGTGACCAGGAGTGGTGGCCCTGTCCTCTCATTTCCCACCCCAAACTCTTTAGCCAATCACCTTGGAATCCGTTCCCACTCAGGGTCACTGTGTGTCAGGGTAGAGCTGCACCAGATGGGCTTCCATGGATGGTTTGGGGAAGTGGGGGAGGGGCAAGTAGCTTATCTCTGGAGGAATTCCAATGAATGTCTAACCCTGTGGTTAATACCAAAACGCATTAACCCTTTGCGCTCCCTAGGGACTATATAGGGTTTTTGTTTTCCCCGTACATTTGTGTTATCCAAGAGAATGCACCTGGGAGGTGCGGTCTTTGTAGTAACGGCATTGTTTCTCTTGATCTGGAGGACATGGTCCTGCCCTGTGCTGCATTCTGAGGAGAATTAGCCCGAGCTGTTGTAGGCCGTGTTCTGAAAAACAGGAGAATTAGCCCTGGCTTCCTCAGGCTGTCATGGGTGCAGTGATGCAGCCCAAACGCTCTACTTGTGTCATCACGGTCAGAGGCAAGCTCGCGCCTCGTGGCCTTCCTTCCTGCAGCACCCCACAGATGCTAATTACAGCACAAGGGCTGTGCAGCTCTTCTGGGCCGAGACAAGGGCACGTGCAAGTGTGCCTGGGGAGCAGGGAGGGTTTCAAGCAGGGATGCTGAGTGCCATTCTTCCATCCTCTGTCCTCTCCAGTCCTCAGCAGTCTCCGAGCTAATGTGCATTCACTCACGCATCTCAGTTCAACTCAGTCAACTCACTCACTCACAGAATTATCAAGTCAATTCTGATTGGCAGAGTAGGGTTTTGAAACTGCCTCTTGAGGGTTTCTGAAACTATAAATCTTTATGGGAGTAGAAAGCCTTATACGTCTCCTGAGGAGCTGCTGGTGGTTTCAAACTGCTGACCTTGCAGTTAACAGCCCATTGCATAACCCATCAGGTTTCTTGATTTTAGAGAATGCTTATTTTGGAGGACGTGAAGTTCAGAGAATGTTTATTCCTGTCGCCTTGTTTCACCAGTGGGAAAACAGCACAGGAGGTCATTAAAAAAATGAGTTGAAAGCCTTCACCACCACCACCACCTACCCCCATCCCCATCCCCATCCTGTGCTTGCTGAGGTCTGTCTGGGAGACTGCACCTTTGCGGGGAAGCCTCAGGACCAGTTAGGAGTGCTACTCCTCACCCTTAAATGTAGATGTTACCGTTCAGAGCAGCGCTAGGATTGCAGAAAACTCACGCAGGATAAAGGGGCAGCTTTTTAGGACCTTGCGCCTGCCTGGAGTGCGGGTATATTATTATTAACTGAAACCCGTAGTTCATGTAAGGAGCCCTAGTGACATCCTAGTTTCATGTTGGGCTGCTAGCTGCAAGGTCAGCTGTTCAAGCCCACCAGCCTCTTCTCTAGAGAAAGATGGGGCTGTTAGTGCATCTAAGAGGGAAAGCCTCTGGAAACACTGTATTGGATTGCTACAGGCAGAATGAAATGGATGGGAGTGGGTTTGGACCGGTGGTGCTGGTGGATTTAGTTCACAGAAGGTTCTTTCTCTGAGTTCTGCAGCCCTGTAAGTTTTGACATAGGCATAATGTCATACGTCTGCCATTACAGTCATATACCTTGAATGTTCCACTGCCAGGAAATGCCCCGTTCTCTGTCTTTTTCCTTCTCCAGCCTTACTTTGCCTTCATTCATACATCATCTTTTTTTTCTCACTCACTCACTCTCTCACTCATTCTCCATACATCTTCTTAAAAGTAAAAAATGTGCACACCCTCTCTGGCTTTTAACATTGCAAGTGGCTTAATCTGTATAACCAAGGACGTTTTCTGCCCTTTGAACCGCCATATATTCTCTCTCCCAATTATTAGTGTCAATGACCCTGCTGACTCCCTTCCCAAGTCTGAGGTACGTTTGGGCCCTCTGTCTCCGGAAGTGTGCACAGGTCCCTGTAAAGTCTACGTGTGTTGTCACTTCCATGTGTAGGGGGTTTGTTTCATGTTGTTTTTGTTTTAATGAGTAGAATAAGGTAGTTACATTTAGTAATACCCATTCACCTAAAGCAACCAGGGGGAGGAGGAGGTGGGGGCACGTTAAATCATTGTGTTTTTGATGAATGGCTTGTACACTGCAAAATAAATTGGACAAACTGGCACAGAGCTCAGTGAACATGAAATCAGCTATTAGAAGAAAGCTGTGAACAAATTCTGAGGCAGATATGCATCTTTTGATTAATGCCCTATCAATCATCCACCCTGGCTCCCTTACTAAGTCTTGCTGTAATCATTCATGGTTGCTTACGGACACGCTTGCAGAAACCATAGTACCGCAAAAGCGGAATATTACCACTGATCTCTCCCTAACTTACTGTGAACAATGACTGTTTTCACCAGGTTTCTGCTTTGCTCTATGAACGAAATACAATGCAAAGTGAAAGAAGAGGTCCTCGAAGCCTGGCGAAATCCTCCTAGGGTCTTCTTAATGATATTCCATCGTATGGGCATAGCTATTGTAATGTAATCCCATTGAAGTCTCCGGTTATGGATTAGAGTCCAATAGGCAAAATGTGGAGGCACATTAACGAACGGGGCACATCTTTTGAATTATTACTTAAAATTGTTGAAATGGCTTGAATTTTGTTATTGTGATTATAATGTTCTCAGTTAATGTGCTTAACTGCAGTAGTCATTAACACACCAGATTGGAAATTTGCATGACTTGACATTACAAGAAACGAATTATTTTGTGGGCATGACATAGTAGGAACTGTGTGTGGTGGCAAGTGCATACATCCCTGCATGGGTACATATATGAGGGGGCTTCAAAAAGTTCATTATCTCGCCACCCCCAGTTTTTTCTATGACTGTTTTGAATTCCTCTCATAAAATGTATGGTTTGTTCCCCATTTGTTATTTAAAAGACACTTCCACAATATCGGCGGGCTCCTCCAGAGGCCTCCATTCTCATATGAAGACCTGACTCCTCAATTCTGTTGGCACCAGAGCGATTGCTGTTGCCTGTGAGCCGAGCAATCTTGGGTCCTATGGGCCCTTCCTCAGAACTGACTGAAGCCTGGGCTATCCGGTGGCGTAATGAAGTGGTGACAGGCATTAGCATGCATAATGGACTCTAATAGACATTTAATGCTCTTTAACTGGAAGCGGAGCTGTGTGCTCCCATTGGAATATTCTCCCATCCAAGCACATTGATCACCGATTTCAGCGGGGGAGGCTAATCCGTCAGCTTCGGTAACCAGACGGCACTGATGGAAATTCTTTCAGTGGCATTCTGGATGAACCAAGCTTTCCATCTTTACAAACAAATGAGCGATATGACAAGCCTGGGGTTCAAAACACATTTAACCAATTGATTTTCTTTCCTCTTGGAATAAGATCTGGAGACATATGAGCGCTCGAGGTGTGAGCCGAGATTAAAGGAATTGCTCCATGCACAGACCCCTGCCCAACTACAGAACCAATAAAAGTCCTATAAAGCATGAGGTCCCCAGTCTCCTTTTTATATAAAGTTTGTTATTGCAATAAATAGTGTTATTGAACTGATGCCCCTCCCCCCACTTTTTTTTCCAGTTTTCCAGCGGTGGTTTTTTCCCCCCCTTTACTCCAGGTCTGTGTCTGTATGCACACAAGTGTGGATCACATCCAGACGGTAGTCTTTCTCTTCAAAGATCTTCAGCCGTTTCACGCTAACCACTTTGAGCTCCTACTCTCAATAGATAGACCCGATGAGCTTCAGGATGGTAATGGTACCTGTGTCAAGGTGCAAACACTTTAATCCTTGAGACAGTCTCTTGCATACAGCAGGAGTGATGGTGTTCTTGTTTGTTTATCTCCTCCCTCTTTTGCAGCCCGGCCTTGAGCTTCACCTACCCGTCTGCACCTGTGTCTCTGCATATGCATCAACAAATCCTAAGTCGACAGCAAACCTTGGGCTCGGCCTTTGGACATAGCCCTCCGCTCCTCCACCCTGCCCCGACTTTCCCAACACAGAGACCTATTCCAGGGATCCCTACCGTTCTGAACCCAGTCCAGGTCAGCTCGGGCCCTTCAGAGTCTTCACAGGTGAGCGAGACGGTTCGATGTCCCCAACGAATAGTGGCTGAAACAAATAGAGGTTTGTTTGTTTTTCTGAGTAGGACGCGATCTGCGAGTAGGCAGTTACTAGGCTTTGTTAGGTGTTAACGATGCCTCCAAAGACTCAAGCTCTTTTTATCCGTCCACCTCTTGTTCCCCGGAAGGCTGCTTCAAAGCAGGCATTAGATCACTGTCTAGGCAGGAGGAAGGTAGTCCTAGGGGAGATCCGTGCTACCACATACCACGTTCATAGCTGGGCACTCACACAGCGTCCAGACCAGAACCCTGTTTTCTAACCCACGGCTATATTCATTAGTGCTGGTAAACATTGTGAACATCCGAATTATGGGCAACTCATACTTGGCCTTTAACATTATATAAATTCACCCTCACTTTGTAATAAAACCAACCCTTAGTCACACTCATCATCATAATCACCTTCACTTGCTGTGTGCAGCTTTTAGATCAGCCCCCTTTTGTCACTAAAGGCATAGCTCAAAACGAGCTATATGCACCTGTTCCAATTGACCTATGCATTCTGAAAAGACACGGTGCGGAACAGATCTCATTGGTGAGCCGGGGACCACCTGCATGTGCTCCTCATCAGCCTCTAACCAGAGTGTTTTCATTCCGGCTGGCAGGTGGTTCCTTAATCTGACCAGGTGCCGACTGTAAACTACATTCAGTGTAAATTTGGGGGTGTAAGGCAAAACATACTGCTACTATGGTTCTAGCGGAGATGTGTGTTGTTTGTTCCAAATAAAACATGTTTACACACATCTCTGTCATCACGGATAGCTGCCAGCAAGTTCTCTTAGCAAGACGCTGTCTTAGGCTTGTTACAGTGCCTTCCAGAAGAGGTCTGATCAGAACAGTGGCCTGCGTGGAGCGTGGATCGCCGAGGCACTTACATTCAAGGCAGGGAGGTCAGCTCAGAAGGTTATGGTGCATGGTTTCTGGAGATCGCAGAGGGCTGAGCTTGACAAATTGTCTTGAAGGACACGGGACAATCCTGGGGCTCTTTTATGAAGAAGTTTCAAAGAAAATGATAACTGGGAAGCAAAAAAAACAGGGAGTGGTGCTGAGGGTTTGCTGTTCTTGTACCCATCACAATGCACCCGCTTGTTCTTTAAGAACAGCGTGGACTGTCCCATGGGCATGTCATTGAGAAACCTTACCCCATCCACCCTAGTCTTGTTCCCAAACTCAAAGAACCTTAAAAGGGGGCGTGATTTGAGCCACCTCAAGGGTGCCCAAATAGGCATTTTGACTTGGTGTGAATCAAAAAGATCAGAATTTTTTGAGGACGGGCTAGCGGGACAGAAACACTATCTCCAGTACTGTGCACACCTGGGTACAGGTTTGGTTGAGAAGCAACAGGTTCACATTTGGGTATTCTTATTTCTTAACAGTCTCTGTGATTTGGTAGCATTCCCTTCGGCGCTCCCTTCCTGCAGTGTAATGAACGTGAAACATTCAGCTTGCTCTCAGGCGCTCCCGCATCTGGGAGTAGGAAGAGCCTGGGGCTGCGCCCTCCCTTCTGATCACCACACTGAGGGACGACCCTGGATGCTCTTAATTAAAGAACTTGACAGACCGTGCCTGTTTAATACCCCTCTCGCCACTTTGTTCCTTTGAAAGACGCTATTGGAGTTTGTGAAGGCCTACAGCCCCTGGTCTGTTCTTCTCGTGTTGAGAAACCATGGGGAGCAGATAATCATGAACCATAAGTGAGAAAATGCCTCATGAAATGCCTTTTCTGGCCTCGGACACATTTTCTGATCTCTACTGCTAGGGCTTCGGAGCCTTATCAGAGTTGCCGTTCTCTAGGCAAATAAGGCTGTTTGTTCCGGGCTATGTCTTTTAATGATGGCACCACTCATTGATCACAACCTAACTTCTCTCTCTGGCCCTGGGACCGTGAGCAGCAGCACAAGCCCACCAGTGAGTCAGCCGTGAGCAGCACTGGCGACCCCATGCACAACAAGAGGTCCAAGATCAAACCTGATGAAGAGCTCCCCAGCCCGGGTGCCCGCAGCCAGCAGGTAGGTCACGAGGTAGCGCCTGTCCCTTCCCTCACCTGCTGCCTGTCATTGCAGCATTTCCTTCTTCGCTGTATTGTGGGATGTAACCTTGTCCTTGACTAAAGGCCAGTAATAGAATCTCATTCAACTTTGTTTCTCCGGCTGAGAAGCAAACACAAATTTGAGAAGCTCTGCGATGTTTTGATGTCACTGGATTTTACAGCTTAGTTGTCCACCAGAGGGTTGGAGATTTGAGTCTACCCAGAGGCCCTGAGAGGACAGTTCTGGAATTATATGCCCCCAAATGTAGCCATTGAAAGCCCTTGGAGGACCGTTGTGCAGCGGGAATCACCCAGTGACTCCCGTGGCAACCTGTCAATGTGAGGTATATGTTCTTGACTTCTTAGAAGTTTAAGCAACTGTACTCGTACACCCACTTTGCCATTATCCACTTAATCAGAAGAGCTTGTAGAGTCAGGAGGGATCAAGGTGTGATTCACCAAACTGTAAGGTTTCGTTCAATTCAAGTTCCATACCCAAAATATGAAATGAAGATTTCAGTAAGAAATTCCCTTGAGTTTGCTTGTGGTGTCTCTTATGCTCAGCGTAGACCTTGGTAGATTGGGCCTCTAATACCATCTCCCGGGGCTGTGGCCCACCCAGGAAGGAGCTCTTTGCTTTCTCCAGGCAGCTTCAGTGCAAATTCCCTTTTGAGCCTGACCTCTGAGGTTGGGATGCTTAGATGTCTCGGGTTCGGAAGTCCAGTCCTACCTTCTTCCCGGGGTTCACTAGTCAACAATCCTGCTGGCTTCACTTAAATGCTTGGCTGCAGTTTTGTCATCTCACCCTGAATGAAGACCTCAATCCTCACATTGCATTATCTTCCAGATTTCTGGAAATGCTTTGCATTTTGACTACTGTGAAGTTGCTTAGACAACTGGAAAAGGAAAGGCCCCTGAGCTGTGACTGTCATTCTCAGGCCTTAACCAGCATATCCTTAAACTTGACCCTGAAGGCCTATCACTATAAAATCTGCAGGGTGCCCCTTACGTCTTCCAAAAACAGAGAGAGAAGTAAAAGTCCTGGGGGTTACAGAACAGGAGGACAGACTAATACACTGAAAAGAATAAAGCGACTAATCAGAGTAGATGTTCTAGACTTACACGTGCAGGCAAAAGTCTGTTGTTAGTTACTACTGAGTGGATTCCTATTCCGGGTGACTCCATGTGTTACTGAGTAAAACTACTCCATGGGATTTTCATTTTTTTCTCCCATTTAATTTTTTTTAAATTGAGCTCTAATTAACACATCATATATTTCAATAAATAGTTCAGTCTTGTGAAACGGGGTTGTATAATCATTACTGCAGTCAGCTTTAGAACCTTTTCCTCCTTCTTGTTCCCATTGATGTTGACTCCCCATTTCCACTGCCCTCCCCTTCTTTGCCCCCAGGCAATTAAGAATCTAGCTACTGTCTTCCTAAATCCATCCATCCAAGTTTTCCTCAAATGACAAACATACATAAAACAAGGGCAAACAATAAACTGGAACTCAGCAACCATGACCATATAAAACAGGAAAGACTTCTATTTAAAGGAAAGCAGACAACATTAAAAATTTATAATAAATTCGCATTCGGTCCAGAGGGCAATCAAATGACAAGGCGTTACATTCCAGCTTAAGCACAGCTGTTTAAATCCGCTTTATAGTGTTCTCTTTCTGACATTAGGGCTGTTAACATTCCTAGTTCTGTGTGCACTCGGGGTTCATTAGAGGTTCAGTACATGTCAGGACCCTGCAAATGGATTTGGGGCTACCACTGTCATCCCTAGCTTACTGCAAACTGGTGTTTAGGATTTAGTCATGGGTACCATTCCCTCCTTGAGGTTTGGATCTTCTTTTTTACAGTCCTTGGATCACACCGGCTGGCGGTGTGCTTCTGTGATGACTTAGCTGACTCCTCACTTAGATGGCTGCTTGGTTAAGATTCATGGAATTTTCTTCACTGTGACCTTTTGTTCTTTGATACTGCTATTCAGAGCCAAAACACCGACCTGAGGTTAATATTTGAGTACAAACCATCTAATGCCATCTCTGTCTGTGAGCCCTGGTAGCACAGTGGTTATGCACTGGGCTGCTAACTGCAAGATTAGCAGTTTGAAACAATCACCCGCTCCATGGGAGAAAGGCGAGGTTTTCTACACCCATAAAAAGTTGTAGTCTCAATATCCCACCGGGGCAATTCTACCCTGTCCTGTGGGGTCATTATGAGTCAGAATCAGCTCAGTAGTAGTGACGTTTTTGAGACGTCTGATAAGGCATGAGAGTCAAACTCAGAGCCCTGCGTTTGAGCCCCATGTTGAGTGTTTCCTTTAGGGGCCTTAGTGGGAGTGGTGGGTTACCAACTGTTCTTCAAGAGGAAGATGTGGCTCTCTGCCACCCAAAGATTTCTAGCCTCCGAAACCCAAAGGAGCAGTTCGGTCCTGCTTGGTATGAGTCCAAGGTAACTCTTTTGTGGTTACTGTTTGTCAGGTAATCATTTTAACCATCCTTTGAATTTTAATCTGTTAATGTCTGTATCTAAGATTTTTGGATTTTGTTTTGTTTTCTAGGCAATGAACTATTTGTGGGTCTTTTTCTTTTTAAAATCTATGCTGCCACTTCATGTCTCCTAACTGGTGCATTTTAACCATGTGCTAGATGACGTTACTGCTGTCATTTTGTTACGGTTTTCTTGTGTTGACAATTTCTTTGTTCTGCTTAATTCTTTGTACTGAGTTCTTTTCGTGTATAGATTTTCTTATAATTTCATTCAGTTTTGTTTTTAGTGTGTCTTTTTTATTTTGGTAAATGGGTTTATTAATTGTGTTTGTAATTACGCTGAGATTTTTCTTTATATTCCTAAATTTAAAATCGTGTGTTACTTTTTGTTATTGCTTTGACTTGCTCTCCATATGAAAGTCTATTAGTATTCCATTCAAGTCCCTGTTTGTTTTAGAGTTGTTATTAATGACAGATCTGACGCCCTGGTTCCCATGTTTATGGTTTTTTACCTTTGTATTACTTCTCAGAGTTCTTTGCATAATTTGGGTGGTTTTATCATGTTCAGGAGATAAACAGGGCTTTGTACTCTTGTCCCCAGTTACAATCTCGGAAACGTACAGGGTCAGCTTTAGCCTGTCCTAGAGGGTCGTTGTGGGTTGCCTTTGACTCGATAGCTGGGAGTTTTTTGGTTTTTGTTTGGTTTCATGTATTTTAATCTCAGTGTGTTGTTGATTCTTTGTTCACAGGAGTCCCTATGATACCTCTTGTCTAGTTGTTCTGTTTTTTATTAATTTCCTTGTTTTATCTGGTCATGCCATAAATTTGCTATCTTATTTCAGAGGCAGTTTTGCCATATCTGTGATTCTTGATTGTTAATTCGTATCTTTCAGGGTTTTATATATGTCATTCTATTGCCTCCTGGCCTGCATGCTTTCTAACAAGTCAGGGTTTAGCCTTTGTAGGTGATATTTCCTATCTCGTGAACTATTCCTTGGATTGTTTGTAGTTTGAAAAATTCTGTTGTCCTATCCCTTGGTTATTTCCATTTGGGGTCTGTCCTGTAGAGTTTGTTCAACTTCTGGGATGGATATCTTGGTGTTGGGGCTGTTTCCTGGCCGCAAGGTTTCACGCCGTACCTCTGGTTTTTGCCCCCTCTTGTTCTGGAATTCAAATCAGGTGCAGCTAATCCTCTTTATAATGTTCCATATAACTCTTAGGCATTCTTTTTTTTTTTTTTTTTGAGTTTTGTCAGGCAAATTCTTTCTTCTATGGCATCAATTTTGCTTTTATGCCCTTCTATGGAATGATTATTTCTGATACTGGACTGTAAATATTTGGGATGTACAGTTGCTAATTTTGTGTAGTTTCTAATTTTTATTCTGTCATTTTGCTCTGCTGTTCTTTTCTTGAATTCATCTAGAATTTTGTCCGCTTCCATTAATTTCTTTGAGGATACTGTATATATGTTTCTAAGGTCTTCTCTTGTGCAATTCTGTTAATCGCATCTTTCTCGGGAAGGTTATCTGTCCCTTTTTACTTTGGTCATTTGACCCGTCTTATCCTGCTTTTTCAGGTGACTTGATGTTCTGTTGTCTTTGAGGCATTGATGTGTTATTTCGTTGATTGAATGTATGCATGGGGCAGTTGGACAGTACTGGTTGCAAATGTGGCAGCGGTTTGTCCCCTCGCCTGTCTCTGGGTGGTTCGGGAAGCTGTTGGTCGTCTGAGCACAGGTGTCTGGTCACTCATTGTTCGAACAGGGCACCTGAATGGGGGGTAGGTGTTGGTCTCCGTTTTTCATCAGGTCAGTGGCATGGGAGCAGGGAATGGTACCTGTCAAGTGATAGATGTTAGGTGTGTGGAGAGACTTCAGTGGTAAGTGGGGTCCTACTAGTGACTTGCAGGCTAGGCCTCTTGGCTCGGGGGTGGGTTGCTAGTGCATTTCTACAATGCCCTGGCTGTGAATTGCCAGGTAGGAAGCTGGTACACTCAGTTGTCCTGAGCTGTTTCAAGGGGAGGTCACTGAGTCAGGTAAGTGAGGGCACTACACCAGCACCTCTGGGTAAGCGGACAAGGCTGGATGAGGCGTGAGCTCAAAGAGTAGTTGTCAGCAGTCTGGGCTGTGGGGGAAGGTTGGTATACTGGGCAAGGTTGCCTTGGCACTTTTTCTTGGCTGCCTTCAGGAGTTGGAATCTGGCCTCACTGGAGACCAAGGAGCAAGGAGGGAGGCCGTTTTTTCCACTGCAGGCCCCTCCTCAGGTGCAGCATGTGCCCAGTGTCTCCTTCGGGTGGTGTTGGATTCAGGACTCCCAGCTTCTTTTCTGCTTGGGGTTCCAGGAGTGCCGTGTTCCTCCCTTAGTTTCGTGGGTCTTGGTGGGCGATGAGTGGCAGAGGGAGACTGGCTGGAGCCACGAGGGCCCCTCCCTCGCCCTCCCCTGGGCACGGTTTTGTTTGTGCTGATACACTGCATCGGAGAGGAATACCAAAACCCACTGCCTTTGAGGCGACTCAAAGCCACCCTGTCCGGCAGAGAACTGCTCCGGAGGGTTTTCCGAGGCCAGAAATCTTTGTGGAAGCAGACGGCTTCCTCTTTCTCCTTCAGAGCAGTTAGTGGGTTTGCACCACCGACCTTCTGGGGAGCAGCCAACACTTTGCCCCCTGTGCAACCAGCGCCCCTGCACCCGGAGCGAGAGGAATCGGAATCTGGTGGTCACTCCTCTCACTTTGCCACCTGGCATCTTCATCTTCCCTCCCCTCGTGTCTTTTTCCTAATCTTTTTTCTCTCTCCCTTTTCCTCCCTTTCCCCCGGCCCCCCTGACCCTTAGGAACAGCCAGAAGGAACCACCTTAGTGAAGGAGGAAGGGGACAAAGACGAAAGCAAGCAGGAGCCCGAAGTCATCTACGAGACCAACTGCCACTGGGAGGGCTGCACCAGGGAGTTTGATACCCAGGAGCAACTGGTGCACGTGAGTGAATGGTGCCCGGGCCGGGCTGCTGCTCGGCCTCCCTGCCCCTGCGCTGAGTCACGTTGCTTCACCAGCAGCGCCTTGAACGGGAGAGAGTCTTAGGACTCTCGGGGAATAAAGAAAACCCTGAGCCCCGGTGCTTGACCTGTTCAGTCAGCTAAAGCTGAGTGTAAAATTCAATAAACTCTTCAATAGAGGGTGTAATGACTCTGATCCCGTAAGCCCGAAAACACTATTTTCACTTAG